ACACCTGACCAGTTTCACCAATCTGGCCCGAGGGGTCAACTCTCAAGTCAAAGCCCAGGTCATACAGTTTGGCCACATCGCGCTCAGTCTTGCGCCGCAACACCGCCGCACCGGTACGGGTGGGCACCAGACCTCCCAACCAACCGCTGTGCTCATCGCCGCTACTGACGTGCACTTCGCCCGACAGCGTGTGGTCCGGGAGGGCATGGGTTGGCTCATAACCGCGGGGCGCCTCAGCGTATTGCCGGTGTAGACGATTGATATGCTCTAAGGCTCCGGGATATATGGCATTGTCGGCGGGCGGACGTGTGTATGGGCTCTGGTCGGTCATCACCGGTACGGCTCCACCTGGTGATAGTGGACGGCGCGTATGACCCGGTTGTTCCCACTCCACGGGACTAGTGGGTGGACTGATTGGCAACCAAGCTCTTTCTGTTGGTTGGCTAACACTAGGTGTGCGCTGTTTTGACCGCTGACCCCAACCCCAGTCGACGTCCTCCGGGTTCTGCGGTTCGTTCCCATATTCGCCGGACATGTCTTGTGTTTAACTCGTGTTTTGTATTGACTCTACTATTGTGATGGTTTTTGACTCAATTTTGAGTTTCAAAAACTTTTAATTTTTAATTTATTTTATTAAAATTTTTATTTTGAAATTTATAATAATATAAACTTTGATAGAAAAGTTTTATTTTTTACAATGGTAAAATAAGAAATAATAGTAATTCATTTGCTTATTACTCAATATAATATGTACTGTAGTAAAGTATTAAATGCAAAATGTTTCAAAAATAAGTTATATTTTAAATAAAATTTAAATTTTAATTTAATTTATGAGATTTTAAATGTCGTGTTAATTTCTGTTTCGTAACAAACTGTTGATTACAGTTATTATGAATACATTTATGGCTTTTTATATTCAAATGTCTTCTCATATGTAGTGTTAAATTATATTTTTGACCAAAACATTTTGACAATCAATTATTGCTGAATAATTAAGATAATAATTAATTACTGTATTAATGAAATATTTGGTTATAACATAATTATTTTATAAAAATTTATTATACATTATAAGTAATATTATTGTCATTACATGTACAGTACTGTGTAATTAGAAGTGATTACATTTGTTTATGTTTACGATTTAAATGTGATTTCAAATCACTCGATGTAACAAACCGTTGATTACAGTTATTATGAATACATTTATGGCTTTTTATATTTAAATGTCTTTTCATATGTAGTTTTACTTCATATTTTGTGCGAAATGTTTTATTACAATCTTTAAAATTACAAATAAATGGTTTTTCTCCCGAATGAATGCGTTTGTGAAAAATTAAACTCTCTTTAGTTTGGAATTTTTTGCTACAATTTTCTTCATTACATTTGAATTTCCTTTCATTCAAATGAACACAACTTTTGTGGAGAAATAGTTTTGATTTTTCTTTAAAACTTTTGTGGCATTCATTGAAATCACAAATAAATCTCACATTTGAATGAATGCTATTTTTATGTCGATTTAAATGTGCCCATCGTTTATAACTTTTATTGCAATGATTAAAATCACATTTAAATTGTTTTATATCTGAATGATTTAATTGATGTGATATTAAATTATTATTTCTTTGTGTCTTGTATTGACATTTAGGCCAAAAACAGTGAAAATAATCATCAGATTTAGTAATGATATGACAATTGTTTAGCATTTTATCACTGATTTTACATGAATTGCAATCANAAAATAATCATCAGATTTAGTAATGATATGACAATTGTTTAGCATTTTATCACTGATTTTACATGAATTGCAATCAATTGTTTGATTGATTGAAAAATAATCATTATTTTCGCATTCAATCGCTTCACACAAAACACTATTATTTGTATTCAAAATACACTGAATTTTGTCTATTATTTCACACAAACTTTTCATTGCATTTAATTTACTCTTTAATTCATTTATTGAAAACATTTTATTAATAAATATATTTAAACTGAATTCACATTAAAACAGATAAACAATGAATTCAAACTCTGGTTCTTTTACAACACGTGTTTTGCATTTTAGATAAAACCGGTTTCAGTACACAAAAAGTGAGTGAAAAACAATTGTTGAGAGAGAGAGAGAGAGAGAGAGAGAGAGAGAGAGAACTCAGGAATGTGTGTATTATTTACATAGGATTTACACATTTGATAATTTATTAATGCATTTAATATTTACTTTTAATTAACTATTTATTATGTGTAGCCATGGTTTACATGCACTATAAAGGTGTCGCGCATTTGGACTGTCACACACCCAACGATGAGCATTTCGTATCCCATATACGCCAAGTTGGGCGTACAGGTGTGGGGCAGTAAATGGCGCAAAATGGCCATGACGGATCTGGTCCATATGTTGCATTACATGTTGGATAAGTGCGGTAGAAGTTGGTTGAATACCGGCGGCGACCTGAGTCAGGTGAGGGCTGTGGCCCGCGAGCTGTTGACCACAAAGATGCACATGTTTGATGTGATTAATTACTATACATGTTAGCCTATTGTATATTTGTTGCCGTGTATTATGAATAAAATATTTTGAATATATTTATTCACAAATAGTGTTTGGGATAAAATGCAAAATACTCAAATTAAAATTTTAATTAACTATCATAAATAATGTAAAATTTTTTAAATAATTAAAAACATAAAATTAATTTAGATAATCAGTGTTTGAACACTAGTCTCACACACGAATATGTCCGACACATATGGGAGTCAACCGCAGACACCACTGCCCGGCACCGGGCGATGGGTGCAGACGTCTCAACACATAGGGATTGTCGTCACGCAACCAACAAGTGTTTGGCTGCCGCCCACACCTACCACTCCGTCCACATCTGCAGGACATCCCGGTGTCGGTCAGCAGCTACTCTTCTACCCAAGTCCTAGTGTTAGCCCCGCGACCACATCGAGTCCCGGCCAATGGTCACACATATCTCATACACCGGGTGCTAGTGATCATGATCTGCATCTAAAACCATCACAACGCCGAGTGCCGTTACCCGGCACAGTTGTGCCAGTAATAACTGGCCCCATACCTGCGCCACCGGCACCGGCCGTATCTAAGCGTCACGTTTTGCCCATAAAACGTCTACAGCGACAATACGCGGAGGCGCCCCGCGGTTATGAGCCAACCCATGCCATCCCGGATCGCAGTCTGTCCGGTGAAGTGCACGTTAATAGCGGAGATGAGTACAGCGGTTGGTTGGGATGTCTGGTGCCCACCCGTACCGGTGCGGCGGTGTTGAGGCGTAAGACTGAGCGAGATGTGGCCAAACTACGGGACCTGGGCTTTGACTTGCGAGTTGACTCCAGGAGCCAGATTGGTAAGGGAGCTTATAGCAAAGTGTTTGTTGGCAAATATAACTCGCAAGTATGCAATTATAAATTAAATTTATAAAGTATAAATAATGCTTATATTTAATATATTCTATGTACTTTATATAAATTAAAGATCAAGGACATTCAAAGCACCACAAAGGGTAGATATCTGCGCGATGTAAAGCCGGGACAAATGTTTGCGGCCAAATACGCCCAGTTGGCCACCGATGGCGAGTCAACCGATTACATGTGCCATATAGTCGAGAAGGCTATCATGAAATCGCTTAAACATCCAAACATTATGTCCTACAAAGTGGTCATTAATTTAGGCCAACGAGTGATACTTTGCAACGTTTCGGGCACTCAAACACCCGATCACGTGGGCTATCGGCGCGTGTTTTTGATCATGGACTACGCCGACCATGGTACTTTATTCAAGTTTGCTGAGAGTGATAAACTATATGATCAATTGGCGGTGAGGTTTACCGGCGAATTGGGCTCAGGTATGTGTTTGCACATGAATTTTTCAATTAATATAAAGTACACAGTATTTTATATTTTCTATTTTATAAATTTAATACTTTTTGTGTGTTAGCCATGGGTTATATGCACGACAATGGGGTCGCACACAATGACTGTCACCATAGAAACATACTGGTGTTCAACGCGCCGGGCGGTCAGTATACGGTTAAATTGGCTGACTTTGGTTTGAGTATATCTAGGACAATTTACGGTCAATTGGGTGAAGTGGTGCCTGAAAATGAGTGGCAAAGTAAAATACAGTCTGATTTGGCGGGGCTCAGGTTGGTGCTGAGATTCATGGAAAGTAAGTGCTTTAACAACTCATTGAATGTAGGCGTAGACCTGACCCAGGTGACTGATCTGGCCAACAAGCTAGTGCGTTTAAAGGTGCCATTGTTGGAAGCGGTCAAACAGTATACAAATTTTAGACAATACTGTCTCTAATAGAGTAATTTCAAACAAATTTCATATTCAGATTATGGTAATATTAGCCGGTTATATACAGTATGTTTGATCATGATAATTTGTGAAACACACCGTGAAACTTTAGAATTGATTTTACTTGTAATTTTACAATTATTTTAGATGACATTGTTATTTTAGCAAAACTTAATAATTACTATTTAAAAAACACAGATAACAATTACATAGGTTGCAGAGTAACAAGGTTAAAAATGTCCGGACACGCTGTCAGAACAAGAAGCCGGTACCGGGACATACCTAATCATTACTGGACACACCTATACCTTTATCCCAACACAGCCGGTACTGGTGTCTAGAGATGTGTTGAACGTGAGCGGTGTCAATAAGACGGGCAGTCGACTGGGCCGGTGGCTGAACCGTACGGTCAGCCCCCATAGTGGTGTCGACCGGTTGGGCGCATCGGTCATCACTAATATAACCAGTGGTGGCTCAGACTTACGGTTCGTTTAGCACCCAATAGAGAGGCACCGGCACCGGGAGGTGTCTATACTTATGGAGTATGTGTTTAACCTTATATTTAATGTTTTTAGATAAGTTCATAATTTAATTGGTATTAATGATGCAGTTAAAGACATATAATGTACATGATTTATATTGTATACATTTATAATTTATAAATAATTACATCAATTAAAAATGACATTTGAGTTGATAAACTAAACATGATTTTAAAATATCATTTGAATTTAATATTTAAAAATTTTTATTTTAGTGATTGTGTTGAACATGTGATTGCAACTCATATTTTGTAATAAACCGTTGATTACAATTATTATGAATACATTTATGAAGTTTTATATTCAAATGTCTTCTCATATGTATTGTTAATTCATATTTTGTGCGAAAATATTTCTTACAATCATTGAAGTAACAAACAAATGGTTTTTCTCCCGAATGTATTCGTTTGTGATGAATTAAACACTGTTTAGTTTGAAATTTTTTGCCACAATTTTCTTCATTACATTTGAATTTCCTTTTATTTAAATGAACACAACTTTTGTGTTGAACTAAATTTGATTTTGTTGAAAAACTTTTGTTGCATTCCTTGAAATCACAAATAAATCTAACAATTAAATGAATGCTGTTTTTATGGTGAATTAAATGCGATTTCAATGTATAACTTTTATTGCAATTTTTAAAATCACATTTAAATTGTTTTATTTCTGAATGAATTAATTCATGTGAAGTTAATTGGTGTTTAGTTGTTGTCTTGAATTGACATTTAGGCCAAAAACAGTAAAAATAATCATCAGATTTAGTAATGATATGACAATTATTTAGCATTTTATCACTGATTTTACATAAATTGCAATCAATTGTTTGATTGATTGAAAAATAATCATTATTTT